TAACCAAAAATTACCTTCGAAATTCAAAACACTTAGTGTTCCATACAAAATACCAGTTGATATAACATTATGAAATACTGTAGTTTTGGCAGTTATTTGAGACTGTGAAATCACAAATTGAACAGAACTTTTTAAAGATGAATTTCCTTCTAAATAAAAAATGCCATTTGGTGTTACTGAAAATTGACTTACATCAACAGAAGAGTTGTCCAACATTTTAAATTGAGCATTAAACGAAATTTGAATTGATCCAGAAAAATTAATTTTTGTATTATCTTTCATCTCAAGCAAAGAGCTTTGATCCATATTTAAAGTTTCAAGAGGAGTTACAATACTGTTGCCATTTAAACTGATTGACCCAGTGTCTGTTAAATAGACAGATTTGGAAGTCATTTTAGAAGAATTATAAAGAAATAGTTTTGAATTTATTTTGACTGTAATTTTGCTATCAGAAGTGAGATGAGAAGAATTGTACAAATAAACATTTGTGTTGGTATAAATTTGAGCGTCTCCTTTGATATAAAAAGTAGATATATCAAACATTTCTAAAAGACTGTTTTTACAATAATCTAAATAAGATAAAGCAATGATGTTTGATGAATTGACCAATTTAAAAAACGTTATTTGTTCAACAAACATAGCTTTTGTAACATTTAAAATTGAGTTGTCTTTTAATAAAAGAGACACTTGATTATTTGTGTTAAAATAAGTCGTTATAAATTGGCTCGTTTTTTCTAGAATTAAAACACTGTAGTCTTCCAAATAAAAAGCCCCTTTTAAGTCACAAACAGAGTCTAAAGTTGTGTTTGTATTAACAAGAGGATTGACAGGACATACTCCTTCCTGTTTTTCCATATTAAAAGAATCAACTGATACAACAAAAAGAATAAGAATAAACATAGAGTATGATTTGTTCATTTCAATATATTGTAAAGTGTAGTCTTGTAGATTTGTCTTTTGTTATTATATAATAATTGGGGGTGGACCCTAAAATTATAATTAAGTTCTTCAATATTCTTGTATGAAAAATATAATAAAGAGAATTGTTTTTATAAATAATTAAATGTTGTAAATAAATTCTATTTTAAGATAAATGTTAAACGATAAAAATTTGTATCTTTGGCAATCAAAATACTGCTGTTTTCAAAATACAATTAACAAAATTTGAATATCTTTTGTGTTCATTCATATTTTTTGAATTGTTTTTCACATTTTATGACAAAAATGGAAGCCCTAACAATTTATTATTATTAACAATTATATTGTTAATAATTTATATTTCAATACATAATTAATAATTAAAAATAATGTTATTATTTTTTGGTAAATTTAATAAAATAATTATTATAATTATAAAATTAATATTATATTTATATTATATTTTTAAAAAACAATTGCAAAACAACAATATGATTAAGTTGAGTTTGAATTATTGGGTTTTGAATTAACAACATGATCATTTCAATAAGTTTGGATACAACCCCTTTTATTATTTAAAATGAGTTTTTATGAAGTAAAAGCTTTTGCGATAAAACACCAAAAGATTTAAAACATTCTGTTTATAAATTTCAATTGTTTTGAAATTAAAATGTTATTATTGTCAAGTTAATTGAATTTTAATGATTATTAAATAATTTTAAAAATCGAAAATATTAATAAATTACATCAAATGAATGAAAAACAATTTAACTTGTCAACTATCAGAAAAAAATAAAAGTATTATTTTTTTGCTTAAAATAATAAAATAATTAAATTATCCCAAACTCAAACATTAATCAAATGATGTTTTTGTTAAATTAAAATGTAATAAACTGACATAAAACAAAGAATTTAAAATTTAAAAAACTTTTATATATTGTTGTTATTTAGCAAGACAGAGTTTATCATTTGAAGTAGTAATTTTTGCAGTTTATTAAAAAAACAAAATTTGTTCTTTTTTAAATGGAAGTTAAAAGGATATTCAACAAAAAAATAAAAATAACACCTCTTCTATATTCAAACTTTTTTATGATTAAAAAAATAATACCCAACACGTTAAATGTATTTTCAAAAACCCATAACAGTTAACGGAAAAAGTGGGACGCAGAGTAAAAGTCGGATGCTCATCTAATAATAATCAATTTAATATTATTAATAATAAATAATTAATATAATTTATTTTAGTTTTTCATTTTATTAATTTTTTGATAATAATTATATAAATTAATAGTAAT